CACCACTTGACCACTTGCCTCTGCTGAACGCAGGCTCACTCCGAAAGGCCACTTCTAGAAACATCTAACTTGGCCTTTCGGTACTGTAGCAGCTAGGACTTTGCCCTTTCAGGTAAGTGGCAGCTACGACCTTGACCCTCCAGGGAGTCTACAGCTACGACCTCTAAACTGTCTAGACTCCTATCCTACAGGTCTACAGCTCGAATTCCTCCTACCCTGTGATCTACGAAGAACTACCTACCACTGGCGGTCCTACAGGTAGCAGGTTCAAATCTACGGGTTGACACCGGTACTGTACACAGGTACGATGGGGAACTAGGGATCGAGCCCTGGGATCTGCATCAGCTACTGCGAACTGGTGAATACCGTTTCACCCTGCCCCGCACTCCTAAAGAACTCCGCCTTCTATGTCTTTCCCTCCACCTTCCCATCCACACTCTCCTCCAGCTTACGTACGAATGAGCATCGTTAAGAGAATAGACGATATGAAGATCAGAAGTGAAATAAACGGCCTATGAAGATCTGAAGAGAAACGCACAGGAGCATACCTTCCCTTTTACTCTGCCTCCTGTTATAACATGCAAGTGGGTCGGCCCACGGGGATTGTGGGCAGCTGCCGCTCAACCACAATCAACGTGGGCGGCCTTTTACATGCGCGGGATAGTAAAAGAGTAACTGTTGCCCCAAAGAAACCCCAATTACACACGATTCAAAATGGTTCAATTATGATTCATGTTGCTTGCTAAAGAGGTGATTTCTTTAGTTGTTGGGCTAGCTCAACTGGAGTCTACTTGTCTGGGTGGGATAGGGGTTGTTGTGGTGACCCCCCCGCCCCAACACACACACACAAGATCTGAAGTGAAATGAACAGTGCTTGCTAAAGAGGTGATTTCTTTAGTTGTTGGGCTAGCTCAAGTGGAGTCTACTTGTCTGGGTGGAATCGGGGCTGTTGTGGCTGTCTCTTATACACATCTAGATGTGTATAAGAGACAGGTCTTGGCCTCGCCTGACGAACTAGGGAGCCTACACTCGTGCTCCTTCAAATGGAGCGTGGCCCCGGCTGCCTCTCCCCAATCCATTCCCAGAACGATATCAAATGGGAGGCTGTCTTCTACGAAGAGAGTCAGGGAGTGGAG